CGAGGCCAAGGTAGCGATGCAGCAAGGAGCGAAGGAAATCGATATGGTGAGTCGTGGCAAGTCACGAGTACGACTGCTCTAGAACGCACACGACTGACTACATCGCCCATATCATTCCGCATCGCACGCTGCAGGTGCAAAATGTGGGATGGCTCAAGAGCGGAGATCTGGTCGCAGTGTACGAGGATATCAGGGCAGTCTGCGAAGCTGTGCAAGGCACGCCCGTCAAGGTCATTCTGGAGACTGCATCGCTCACGAAGGAAGAGACAATCGACTCTGCGTTCATCGCTGTGAGTGAGGGGCAAAGGATGAGACGATCTCACTGAGCTCGTTGGAGGCGCTTGGATCAAGCGGGAGATCCAAGGCGTTGCCAGGAGCGATATCTCGTCGAAAGCTGGTGTGTGAGCTGACGGAGCCCAACTCTCTGTGCCCCCCTGCCTCTCGAACACGCTCGTCAAGTGTCTCGCCGGTGCTCGTTTCGTCAAGACCTCGACAGGGTACGGACCAGGCGGGGCGACGGAAGGCTCGGTGCGTCTGCTCAAGCACGCAGTAGACTATCACGCCTCGCTCGCGAACTCGAATTCGAGCGCGCAATCTTCCGTCCAAGTCAAAGCCTCGGGAGGCATCAGGAACCTTTCGACCTTGAAGAGAATGTGGGAATGTGGAGCTGACAGGGTTGGAGCTAGTAGCACTGCTGCGATTCTGAGTGAGGCGCAAGGAGCATCTGCAGAAGCGGTCCCAAAGGCCGACTACTGAACATTCACATGACATGTCCACTTGACCCGCGTAAATGGGCTGCGGTGTTGTGGCAGGGCTAGGAAGCGTGTGGGATTCTTCAGCTGGCTGGCAAGGGAGCGAGGGGCGCTCTCAAAAAGTCCAATCGATTGCGTTTGATACAAGGTGGCGCGCCGAGGTACAAAGAGTGCTGACATGATTCACCCGACCCAGTCGGATCTTGCCTGCTGCGCCGCATTCTCCACGGCGCTCTTTACGTCCTTCTTTCCAGCGGTCAAGTCCCACATTTGCGAATCTGCCTGTCCCTTTGGCAGCTCAGAGATGGCGAGGAGAGTAGCAGCCACGTCGTCTCTTGGCACCGAGATCCCGATCCGACCCCTCTCTGCCAATGCCACTTGACCAGTACCAGCGTCGTTGAGAAGCGTAGAAGGACGCAGGACGGTCCATGGAAAGGCTTTGCGTTGAGACAGGTTCTGATCCGCCTCGTACTTGGCTTGCATGTATGCTGGCAAGGCTTTCCTCATCCCTGCGCTCTTTTCAAAGCTTAGCGCAGCACGGAGCAAGGCAAGCAAAAGTACCAGCGGAATGAGCTGCTGACCGTGCAAAGGAGCGATACGGAGTAAAGACGCGCTGCGCTACACTCACTCTTCGGGAGTGTACCAGTCTGGCTTTGTCGTCTCGATGTTGCGAACGTCGATGGCACTGAGCAGCACGAAGCGTCTGAAGTCGCTCGACTTGCTGATGCCCGATGCCTCGATGGCGTCAAAGACCTGAGCAGCGCGATTGCGGGGAAAGGGATTTGCGCAATGAGACACGGAACATCCCGTTCGCTACGCAATACTGCGCACTGATGCAGCACGCTGCGTTGGCTCTGCACTCACGCGGATAGCCGCATCTCTATCGAACTGCTCTCGTCCTTTCCTCTCCGCCTTTGCCGCCAGCGCCAGCGGTCCAAAGGATCACATTGGGCTTGTGTTGCTCAAACAAGCCTTTCAATCTGTTCACATCCAAATCCTCGACGCTCTCAACCAGAGGTTGCACGCTGCCTGAGCCTTTGAAATTGGTAATGTCCGATGCGTGATCAGGATTGCGGATCTGGGAGATGATGGCGTGACCGGACGAGACGGCTTGTCGGGTGAAAGACAGAGCTACTCGACCGTGCCCGCCGATCAGAAAGATGCGAAGTGGATTCGATGCCATGCTTGCGTGAACTTCGCGACTTTTGTTGGAGGGAAAGGGGGAGGGAAGGCAGGGGATGAGTGGAGATCAGAGACGAGTCTGGAGTGTGCAGTGCGGCGACGTGGTTGCAGGGAGCCAATGGCTGTAGTCACAGTCACGAATGAGCAGCTGCATGTGTGTAGGCCACGAAGCACGGATCACTCTTGATTCGGAAATCACGTATACTGAGTCGTGAATCACGTGAATGCTTGCGTGGCTGCTCCCTGATTCATCCCTGTTGTTGCCTCCCTCGATCCCTCCACAAGCCAGCCGCACGGGTCCTCCTTCTTGCCAGCCTCGGCGCCGCGCCCCTCCGCCTCGGGCAGCTAGCATGCAGAAGCGACAATCACGAATGGAAGGGCGGGGAAGAACAACAGCAAGGCCATGACGCAATTTCCTTCCGAATTCAATCTTGATACAGCGGCCAAATTCGAAAGCGAAAGAGAGGTTTCTCCACAATTTCGTGCCAAAGCGTCACGTGAGTCAATTTCCTCGAATGCTCTGGCGGGCGGTGTATGTGGATCACTTCCATTGGCTGAACGGTGATGGCTTCTCACATCCAAGATTCAGTTCCGGAGCTTTTGCTCCGACGATGATGACGACGCATCTGAAAGGAGAAGATCAGCGTGAGATTGATCGAGCTCTTGTTGCGGAATCCATTTGCAATCGTGAATGTGAATGTCATCCGGACTGACAGTTCCGAGACGGCGGACAATGGAACGAGACAGGAGCTCGGTCCGTTTATCAAGCCAGCCGGCCAGCCAAATCATCCGGACTTAATTGCGACATCGGATATTAGTTCTTCGGAAATTGGTTTGCTGATGAGCCACCACTTGCGACCTTGCGACCGACCGAGGATGCATGGAAGTGGAAGCCTCGCGCTTCTTGCATCGTGATTGTGGTGGCTTGCCGCATGCGAGTGGACTGGAGTTGACCATTGCTCGACGGCGTGTGCGTCAATCCGCGTGATGGTCCACCAGCCCATACGTCGCGACACGTCCAGCCTTCAAGTTGTACACTTGATCTCCTTCATGCCATCAGGTGGTGTTGCTGGTCAGCTGACCTGATTTCGTCGGTCTTTATTGCTGACAAGAGGGAATGGGGCAGACCGGACGGTGTATCATGGTATGCGCTACGTAGTCGGAGTTCATTATCCTTGACACACGGCTGAGCTGTGCGTCTGTACACTGAGACCCTGG